TGTATAGGTAAAGCAACCTACGAGACTCTTCAAGATTTCTCTGCTGTATACTCCTACCAATGATATCTTGGCACTCCCCAGCTACTTGAAGTTCCTCAATAAGACATAGGAACTATTGAACAACCCCCTACCTTTTATCTAACTAATTTCCTCCATCTCCCAGAACTCAGCTCAAACCTCATCTTTAAAGAAATTTTCCTGATATGCCAGAAGTGTTCCCTTCACCTCACTCTAGCGCATTAGCCACACAAAAGCTTATGTTCCTTTTGTGAGCTCCCCACCCCATCTCCATGCCTCTCTCCCTCTCCCTACTCCACACTCTCTCTGTCTCTCTTTCTTCTCTCTATAGGAGAAAACGCAGGCCACCATTCATGCTAGACAAGAGCTCTGCCACTGAGCTACACCCCCAACCCTGTAAATATATCTTTTAAAGCATTGACATTTATTTAACAAATACCAAGTCTTACTATATATTAGTGCTGGTGAAAACAGCAGTAAATCAGACAAAAAYATCCTCCTGGAACAAGGTCTTTGCCCCTTTTTTCAACGGAAAAAGACAGCCATTGAGCAAGTACTTAGAGTGATTTCTTTTTAATTTATAGGTCTTTTCCACCTAGAACCCAAGCTCCTTAAAGATAAACAAATTATTTTACTTATTTTTATAGTTCCAAAAACTTAGCATGGCACCTGGCAGATAGTCTCCTCACCTACTGGGTAGATAAGCAGAGAAAAATACAACAGAATTAATGAATGTTAATCCTGTGAGTGAACCATGTGATATAACCAAAATTGGCAAAAAAATCATTTTAAATATGAGTTTTAGAGCATGCAGTACTTTATCAAGTGCAAGTACTTTTTAAATGTTAAATGGAAAAGACTCTCCTAAAAGCCAAAAAGTGCAAAAATATGGTCAAGTGATTTATCAGATAGGAAGCTACAAGTTTTGGAGAGTAGAGTCAGGCAATAAGTAATTTGAATTCAACACTTTGTTTCCATTTTTGTAGTCTGAAACAGTGTAACTACCAAAGAGAACTAGAAGGAAAGTTGGCATAGAGACATGAATCATTTGGATGCCTATTTCCAGGTCTCAAAACCTGCTAAAACCTCTAATCTTAATAATCTCAGTTTACTGGATTAGTATCTAGCCTTTTTAGTGTGTATATATCTCAATTCAAAGACTTTTTGGCAGGGGTACTGGAGATTGAACTCGGGGGTGCTTTACTCAGGGGTGCTTTACCACTGAGCTATATTCCCAGACCCATTTATTTATTTTGAGATAAGGTCTCTTTAAGTTGCTTAAGGCCCTGCTAAATTTCTGAGGCTAACCTCAAACTTGTAGTCCTCCTGCCTCAACCTCCTGAGTTGCTGGGATTATAGGTGTGTACTCTACACACAGCTAATTACACAACTTAATAATTACAAATAAAGAGATGTAAAAGAAATAAAACCATAAAATTAAAGGATTCTGTGTATATTTGGTATAATATGTATGATGCTTAAGAGATTTGAGTTCATAGAATAACAGTCTTGATTAAAACTTAAAATGCAATATTTAGACTTCTAAGTTTAAGTTGAAATCTTAGTGTATGGATGGCATCAGAAAAGCTGAGATAAATCTAGGCTCTTATTAAATTTTATTGTTAATTTAGAAATTATTTTTAAGGGATTCAGGAAAGAGTTAAACCAATATTTGGACAAGATGAAATATTGTAAAATATAAATACAGTGTAAAATTTTTGAAGATGGTTAATTATGTGAATAAAATTGAGAGTTAATGAAACAAATTCCAAATGATTATGAAAGTTTATTATWCATGTTAATATAAATAATAAGAGCTGTAAAATAAGTGTAAAGGCTAAAATATAACTAGGGCATAGAATCTGGAACCCAAATATCTAATCAGTTCATTAGCAGTTATCCCAATTTCTTCTCCTCTCCTTTGACCCCTGCACCTGGTAATTACTAATCTACCTTCAGTCTTTGGCTTTTCCTATTCTGAACATTTCAAACAAATAGAATTATCCACTATGTGGTCTTTTGTGTCTGGCTTCTTTTACTTAGTAGAAGGTTTTTAAGGGTCATATTATAGCATGTCTCAGTACTTTGTTGCTCAAGGAAAACTTCTAAATAGTCATTTTAAGTATATAAAACCATCCTCAAAGACACTCCTGATAACTAGGGTCTTCTTTAGTTCAGAGACTCTTTTGGGTCAGGTTGTTTAGAAACAGGGACCAAGTTTAAGTTTCTTGTTTAAGTGTTTCAATAGGGGAGGGCTCTCTGGAAAAGGAGAGTGAGGGAGCAAGAATGGTAAGGAAGACAGGGATACAAGAATGGGATTCCATTTATCCTCCATAAGCCAACACTTTGTGTTGCCCATGAAGTTCAGCTTTTTGTACCTGCATACCAGTCTGTCTCTGAGGTGGCTCCTGTTTTAGTCAAAGGAAATTCTCTAGAGAAGGAGCCAGCTGAAACTGTTATTTATCACTCACAGCAAATGGAATAAAGATGCACAGGTGTATAAAGTAGATTTGGACAGGATGCAAAAAAAACATTCACTTTAGTTCACTATATTGCTTAGATCACTTCTCACATTATTTACTCCATCAAGAAATTTTTCCAGAATTCTTATTAATTACAATGTCTAAGAAACTTTTTACAAGAGTAGAGTAACAAGATGAGCAGAAGTCACCACTGCTGCAATTGGTCCCAAGGCCATCACTGGTACTCATCATTTCCCTCTTGCACCACCCTTTCTAGATTCCCTTCTACCTCAGCTAGCCCTTCTGCTGTTATGGGTGTCTTGTCGGACAGATTGAACAAGGCACTCACCTTCAAGGAGAATAAGACCCTGTTTATCATGCTTTCAGCTTGTGGTTGCTGTACTTTTCCATTTATATTTACAACTGTAYATGGAAATACCAAGAAATGCATATGGGGTATCTCTTCTAATTACCCAATATAATCCTCTCTGTCCACCTTATGAAGCAAGAGCCTCCACATCCTTCTGGTCATTTTCTTGTTGGCCATCTGGCATTAAGAACCCAGGATCRGATGTGTAACCAATGTGATTCTGCAATCTGTATTTGGGGTAAAAATGGGAGTTCATAACCCACTTGAATCTAATGTATGAAATATGATATGTCAAGAGCTTTGTAATGTTTTGAACAACCAATAAAAAAAAAGAACCCACCATCACCAGAGAGGAGCCGTAGCCCTAAGTGTAATGGGACGCTCACTGTGTCCTCTGATGGAAGCATTCCACCTCTGAGTATTAGGACCTCTAGGCTAGTAAAGCCTAGAGTTGCTGGCAGGAAACACAAGGATCCAAATGCATCACTGGGAGTGATGGYAAGGAAGCCACTCCTATTTTTTTTCCTGTAAGGGCTCATTTGTTCTACCAACCAGGGACATAGCACTGTATAATGGCCATTGGTCTAAGGAGTTCAAACGTGAAGTGCTATTTCCAAGGTGAAGTCTCAGCTATGCCTTTAACAGGCCATTTCTTTAGTCTGTCAATTTGATAGTTTCCAAATGGTGTAGAATGTCCAGTAGATCCTCTGGTCAAGTATCTGTCAGCATACCTTCTTGCTGGAAAGAGAGTTCCTTAGTGTGAAATTCTGTGTCAGAATTTCAAACATTTGGGATAGTGGTGCTGGCTAAAGCACTATAGGCAGAAAAGGCAACCCCACACATGTCGAACCCAGTCATGATGAAATGTTACTCTTTTCCAGTTTGGAAGGGGCCCAATGTAATTGACATGTCACCCAATAGCTGTTTGGTCTCTTTGAGAGACCAGTGTTGGCCTCTGCTGATGACAGGTTAGATATGKAATAGAAGCAGCTGCTATATCAGCTTTGGAGTGAGTCCAAACTGTTGGGCCCACACATAGCCTCCATCTTTACCACCATGGATACTCTAGCCATAAGTCCATGTGCAAGAACTAAGTTAGCAATAACACAGGCTGCTTGACAACTACTGGTCTAGATATTTTGTCTACTTAATTAGTTAATGTCCCTTCTGCATAGGAATTACCTAATGGACATTATGTGCTATAAAATATTCTCACACTATGTGCCCCCTCCCTAGTATTCTCATCTGTCCCTCCCATAGTATTCTCCACCTTTCCCAATCTTTATTCTTCCAGACTCCTGAACAATAAGCTAGAYAAACATCTGTCACTATCCATGAGTATGTTCTTACCTTGGCCACTTCTGCCTAAATACACTGCYTGAAGCTCTGCCATGACTAAATATACTGCCTGAAGCTCTGACAACTAAAAAGATTTCCCTTCTGAATCTCAAAACCATCCCTGAGTGGAGCAACAGAGGAACAGCAGATATTTTMAGCTTTCATCTCTTCCAAACA